CAGCAGTGGCAACACAGTACTGTGCACAGCAAGACCCATGTAAAGACACAAAGAGCGTCTTCTGCTGGGGACAACCTGAGAATACCTGGGCCTCTGTCATTTGGAGGAAACCAAGGATTCCCAAAAGCCTGCGTCGTGTTTTGGCACCCAACGGCGGCTGCAGACCGTGCGTGTCTCCCGCGTTCACTCGTACCGTGTGTTCAGGCCGGGCAGTGAAGCAGAGGAAGACACCACCTGAGAGACAGACGGATACCATCCTCCAGGTCACACTAGTAGTGTATTTATTGGAGTATCTCACATGCAGGAACCAAAGTAGAGATGATTTCTGGAGCAAGTTAAACAATGGCAGATTAATACAGTTGTATCGTCCTTAACGTAAACACTTTCTACGTGAATACAGCAACATTTTAGTGTTGGGTTTCTTTGCTTTTTGTATATTTTGTTTCTCTTTACATAGTCAATCTCTTTAAACAGTTACGTCCCCCTTCTCCCCTACCCCATTCCCAAACAAAAAAATATCCAATATCTTCAGTAAATAAATATTATCCACTTTTATCTGGAAAGCCTACAGCTGTAATATACAGAGAAGCTATTACACAGGTTACATTTGTAGGGTTAACGATAGCTCATAATAACATGTACAGAATGAGGAGCTTGTACTCATAAAAACACAGAGCAGGGTGGGAAGTTTGGCGTAGGTTTGCTGTGGGCTAAAGAGAACCAGCACCGGAGCTCGGTGCGGCTCCAAAGCCAGTCAGTTCTCGGTGAAACGCAACCTCGCCTCTCTCCTGGATGGAGGAGCAACCTGCTGCCAGCGCCTGGGGCACGGTGTTGGGAGGCTGGAGCTGGCAGCCTGGAGACGGAGCACACAGGCGCAGCCCGCTCCGGAGGCTGGAGTTTGGGAGGGATGAGTGGAAGGTGCTGTGTGGGCACCAGCAACGCCTCTGGGCGCCTGGCAAGGGGATTTCTGCCTCCTCTCCTCTGCTAGAGGTCAAGGGTGGGTGGGTGCCCCCAGCAGCTGAAGCGTTACCTCCAAGAAGGCTATAAATCCACTCAGTGATTGCCTGCTTCATTATTTCCATAAAAATAACTGTCCTGAGCTGTTTTTTTCCAGGGCACGCTCCACAAGCCTTGCGGTTAGCATTTAGGAGGTAAACAATGACTGAGCTGGATGAGGCTGGCCTGGGGATGGAGATAGCACAAGCAGTTCCCACTCCACAGGACTCCCAGCAGCCGCAAGAGACCCGACAACTCATCGGATGAAAAAGACTGTTGAAAATGCTTCTGTGTTTGCTCTCCTGGTCTGCATGTCCTGTCCCCATGGATGAAAGCAGGAAAGCATTGAATAGAGAGGAACAGGAATAGGCTGCGTTGGCCGGGGTGCTGGGGCACCATGTGCCCAGCTCCTGCGGCAGCTTACGGAGGGGGACCATCACCCTTGTCCTGGCTCTGAAACCACCACCCGGATCTGTTCTTCCACCACTGGAGGGAAACATCTCGCCACCACAGCCAGCTCTGCCGAGTCCTCCATTTAAAAGTGGAAACAGCCAATATATCCCATAAAAAAAAGCCAAACGAAGTCAAACAAATGGAAACCTCCACTAAAATCCTTCTTCAGCTTGGAGGTATAAAAACAGCCCTGGAAATGGCAGAGCTGATTTGATCAGCACATTTCAGAGACAGAGGCTGTGATAATTGGAAGGGGAAAGGTATGTTGGAAGCTACATGAGGGTCCTGGTAAGGACCAGTCTCTGCATTTGTGCTGTTCCCTTTAAGAGACACCGTGCTACGTTTTTATGAGCAATTCTCCTATGAGCCTTACCTACATACTAAACACCCTAAATGTCTGTACAGCACATTGTTATCTATTACACCTGCCAAAGATGCAGCTGAAATCTACACATAACAATTAAAAAACCTGAAAGGATATATTTAAATAGAAACCATTCATTTCTTACATCTCAGCACATGAAGGGTTAACAGAAGAGGTTAAAAAACACACTGGAAAGAAAATATATTGACAAAATAAATATTTTAACCTAGGATAGGGTATGATTAGGACTTACAAAGGACCCCAATAATAATTTAGTGTCATTGAGTGTCAAGCTGCGATTCCTAATAAGCCTAGAAAGCGTTGGGATGTTATTTCTTATGGAAAGCAGATCAGGCTGCAGCTCCATCTCTCTTCTCACAAGTGTTGGAGCCACACAAGTCCTCTGCCCACTTGCACAGAGGAAGCACTTAGAGTGAAAGCGAAGGAAGAATAAATCGAGAGGTTGGTCTTCTGAAGTGAAAAACCCCTTCCCTTTCCCTCAAACAGTTTCCACCACTGAGGTTTTCTGCAGACCACAAGAGCATGGGGAAGATGAGAGATCCTGATACAGGACGTTAGGGAAGCTCTAGCATAGCTCTTACATTTGTTAAAGAAGGTTTGGGCTAAACCACCCGTTCCGCCGCACGCTCTGTCCCCTTCAGTGCTTCCAGCCCCTGCATGCTCAGCCCACCAGAGCCAGGTCTGGTGGATTTGGGCTCCAAATTTAACTCACGGCAGGGCTGTGCTTTTACCAGACCCATCAAGGGTCCCACCAAAAGGACGTTTAGCCATTGTCCCAGGCTGAGCACACACCTCCCAAGGAAGGCATCTCCTGAATGCTGCCCTACTTTCAGCAAAGCCACTGCTTGTGCTGACGGCACCTGCCACCGCCTGCAAACAGTTCCCTTGCTTTCCAGCGGATAACACGGGACGTCAGTGGGACCACGGAGTGCCTGAGGTTGCAAGCACAGAAGAGAGTCCCTTGAGTTGTGCCAACACACGTTCCTTATCTCCCCAGCCTTCTTGTTTCATCTCTTTTCCTCCACGGTCGGAGGGAGCAGTCACTGACAGCTCTGCAAGATCTTCTAGAAAGGGACCAGATTCTCTCTAAAGCAACAACTTGGAAGTCCCAGGACAGATTTAGCATGACAGAAAGAAGAAGCGTTAACACCACCCACCCCACAGTTTTTGCTTAGGGGTGGGGGAAGAAGGGCCAGCAAATCCGCAGCAGTGGGACTCTGCAGGGGGGCTTGGTGACAGCACTGGTGATATCCTTGCCACTCAGCATCATTTGACAATGTTCCCATGCTTGAGCAATGCGATTATCTCCTCCGGCTTGGCAGGGAAGCTGGATTAACATGCTTAGAATCACCTGATGTGGCCATTTACAGGGTCAATGTGTTTCAAGGATTTAGAAGAGAAAATACACACTTAAAACACCCACAGAGCTTTTTGCATTGACAGGAATACCAACAATTCATTCTGTGCTGGCAAGACTGCTCAGGCAATCACCAGACACCGTCTGAAATCAAATCAGTGTCACAACAGAAGTTTCCTCAGGTTTCTGGGAGCTGGTGGCCACATCTGACGTGTTGTAGAAAGGCAGGGTCTGGCAGGAGCTGGCAGAGGGGTGTCTGGCAGCCAGTATCTGAGCATTGGGCTCACCTTGTGTTTAACAGCAAGGGCATGGGCGAGAGCAGCAGTGCATACATGCAACCAAGGCAGACTGTCCTGGCACTTTCCATTAGCCACAGAGAAGATGAAATGGAGAGAAACCCTCTGCAGACCCATATAGAAGGGCTTCAACTGGGGAGAGGGCCAGCAAGCGGGGAAAAGAGGCAGCTTGATCCCCAAACTATCTCCATCCCTACACTTGCAAGTCATGCTACTTTCTGCACAGCGCAGAGCTGACAGGGAGCAGCGAGCTACGGAGCAGCGGGGGGTGGCAGGGCAGCCTTGCCCAGCTACATACGGAGGGATCCTGGAAGAGGATGCAGGCAGGGCAGGACAGAGGAGAGGATGAGCAGGGACAGCACAGAGCGACATCTGACCTGGGACGGCCTGGAAATCCTGCACCAAACAACACTTCCCTCCGAAGATTAATGTGACTGCTCTCAAAGACCATCAGTGCTGCAATCGGGCCATTTGGTAAAAGGCTTTATGTGTCAGAACGTACCAAAGCGTGGCATACCCTAGAGAGTATGTTACAAGCTGAAATAACTATACTCAGATAAAAGCTTCTATCACTTTCACATCAGCTGTTTATAGCACAGTTTCTTGGTCTAGAACAACTTCTGAGAGTTCGACACACATCAGCATCCCGGGAAGCTCAGACACGCCAAGTCAAAACAAAGTGGCTGGTTGCCTAAGACAACGAGCGCCCCGAGGAAGAGGGGCTGGAGCGCTGCTGCCTGCATGGGTGTTCATCTGATAAAGTGCCTCTCTGTCAGGACAGGAGATTCTCCCTGCCACACAGCATTCAGCTCTCTCTTTGATCCTGCCATCTTGTGCCACTGGCTTACTACCAAGGAACATGCTGGGGGATGCAGCGATGGCTGGAGCTGCATGCTCCAGCTCCGCTTGTCAGCCCAGCAAGGCAGGCACACATGCTGGAATCCCTTCTGGCAGCTCCAGCAAGAGCAGCGCTCTCGGCCATGCCTCTGGCAAGCATGGGAATATGCTTGTTTGCACAGACAGGAGGGAGACTGCAGCTCTGTAGGAGCTGGGAGTTAATAAAGGGGCAGAGGTATCAAAGGACACTCCAAAAATTACAAATAGCACGGCCACAATCATCCAACACTTTCTCAGGCCCAAACCTAGAAGGAAATGAGGAGTTTCACCTCCAGCACAGGCAGGCATGGCTAATCCCTCCATGGTAACCATCTCCCTCAGCATTTTCGTACAAGCCTCTGTGAAGTTTGCCTCTTTTTCTCATACCTACCACCAAGAACCAGCATGTCTATCCTACCAGGCATGGCAGGGAAACCAGGAACCTCAGTTCACACCCAGTCCATGAGCAAGTCCCATCCATCTGCATGGATGTTATTTACAACAGCTGAGACAAATGCAGAGCTCTACAGTCTCTGAAGAAGGAATCTAAGGTAAAGAAAAAATAACCTAGCTATTTTAAAAGGCAAACACACTAGAAAAGATCCTCATGTGAGAATGCTCTCCCAAAGAGCAAAATGTTTTATGCGCTAACATTACAACATCCATTTAGCTCAGCATTTTTCATTCTCGTCAACTGCCAGAGCTACTGGACATGGCCAACAGACTGCTTTCAAATTAGAGCAAGCCCAGATAAAACACAAGGAAAAAAATACCCTGTGAGATTTAGAATATGAAGCGCTGCACAAAGTGGGGAAAAGCGACTACCATATGGTACCGGGAGATGTGTGAGTGGGAGAGTAAAGGATTTTAACTTGTGAAGCACATGTTGAAAGGGGAACAGTTGTTCCTTGCTGCCGAATCTGACACGAAAGCCAATACATTAACATTTTATCTAAAAATAAAGACACACTCCTCCTGAACATTCCAGCTCAGTCAATTACATGCTGATCGACAGAGCAGTCTACTTGGCAGGACCTGCCTACAGAAGAGGATGATCCCTACATAAATTGAAGGGCAAGGCTGCTCTCTCCCCTCTGGGCTTTTGTTTCAACACAGTGTGACGTACTCATGCATTCTAAAGGGGTTTTCAGCATCAAGACCTGGTTTTGTGCAGCTGGGATAGGAAGGAGGGGATTAAGCGAGTGCTGGAGAATCGTGGTCTGGCAGGAATAGTGTTGAATTTAAATAGAAAGAGTCAGCTTGTGGGGGTGGATTGTTTGGGGAGGGGGGGAAGGAGAAGCAATCTATGAAATCGGGGGGGAAGGGGGTTGTTGTTAGCCAAGGACTGTGGGAGGACGAAGTGGCCGTACAGCGATATTCGCCTGCAGAGCACGGGGGTGGGAGGGCGGCTCAGAGAAATCTTCACAGTGCAAAGAGGGCATCCTCCGAGCGCTCTTGCTTTTTCCTGCTGGAAGGATTTGTTGGAGGGGTGGGGGCTTCCAGGGGAGGGGATGGCAGATTGGGAACCATCTCCGCCGCTTTGGCTCGCTCTTCTAAAAATTTGTCAAACTCTGCAATGCAAAAAAAGAAGGAAGACAGGTTAAGAACTGGAGCTGTATGTTTAGCCCCGGGGACAGAGGTTAGCAGGGTCTGAAATTCCAGCGCCTGGTGTCCAGTCGGGCTGTGTTCACAGGCACACATACTTGTACAGCCTGACTTCCTCAGGAAAGGGTACAGACGTCCTTTGAGACACCCTAGCTCAGGCAGCAGAGGGAATCAAACCCACACTAAGCCATTGGCCGTGACAGAAGCAGGGAAACATCATTCCAAAGGGTTGAGCAGCTTGGGGACGCATTCCTACTGTCACAAATACAGTGCACAGCCAAGGAAGATGGCAGGAAAGCACTTACAGCCGGGAGGCTCCTCACACCATAAATACTAACTTCTTGCTCTGAAATGCTCTCCTCCCGCCTTTCTGAGTGCAGAAGCATTTGCTGGGGAACATCAGGCTGGGAGAAGTCAGCATCTCAGCAGGGATCGAAGCAGATAATTCAGTCTGTGCACTAACCTGGGAACAGCTCATAGCCACAGGCATCTCTGCTTACCTTCACTGGTCACTCCTTCTTCCAGTTCATCTCCTTTCTGCAATTGGAACAAAAAGGCATATGAACACACAGGCAGTGCTTCACCTTCACTATTACCCTCTACATACATTTAATGCAACTGGACAGTTTCCACCACTCGTTTCCACATGCTAACTATTTGAGCAGGGCGACCTGGGGAAATCACACGGCTCCCACGTCGGGAGGCCAATGGTGACTGTGCTGCAGAACAAGAGGACGAGCACTAGAGATGCTTCTGAAGACTGCTGGTGGATAGCTAAACTTTCCCTGTTGGACCTGAATGGCAGTCCAGCGCTGTTTCCACTGCAGACAGTAGGCCTGGTCAAAAACCTGAGCCGTGTGAGTTACCCAAACACTGTACAAGATGCCATCTTTTGTCACGCAGTCCTTTAAAAAATCAGGACTGCGGTTTGCATTGTGTCTTCAAATAAAAGGTACTTTACTGACAAAGGACACATGCTGCAAAATAGTTTGGGGCAAACGTTCCTCCTGTGGGAATTCATTTTAGATTTCATACAAAAATATAGCAGCTTTCCTGGCGTCCATGCTGTACAAAGACAAGACTAGGGTGGGCTGGATGAAGGATACTAACGGGCAGTTAGCGTCTGTCCATGAGATACAAAGGCTGGGATGCCAAGGGGTCAGTGCATTTCTACCAGTTGTGTGCATTTCAACATGTGAATTTCCAACAGTTCTTTAATAAGGAAATTAAATGAAGTCCAAGGATGTAGCATCCTTGTCAATCTATCAGGATGCTAAAAATGGACGAAAACACTACTTGAAAACCTCATGTTGAACCTGCTTTGAAAAAGAAAAGTATTTGTCCATGCCCTGGCTTCTCCACCAGGAGAGTGGGAACATACTGATTGGCCTCACAAAGGTGTTTAATGCCTGAGAATTAAATGCCACCTAGCATTTACTAGCTTTCTACCACACAGACGTTTCCAAAGGTACACACAGCAGCCACTGCTTCACATGCAGAGATACTGTTTGTTCCAAAGTACCCCAAAAAGGGTAAGGAAATAAATAACGATTAGCTAAACTAATCAGTAATTTCCTCAGCTGGGAAGCAGAGAACTGAAATGAACCATTAACAAAAAAAGGAGGCGGGGAACCCAGAGTAAAAAACAAAAATCCAGTCCAAACTTTCTCAGAGGGCATCTCTATGCTGCAACACACACGGTCAGGATAGGGACCCAGGTACCGGGAGAAGGGAAGCCGGTACAGTCACAGCCACAGCGCGTGTGATCCCCAGGCTTGTTCAGGCATTTACATGGCACTTCTCTGCTTTGCTCTTTTTGAGTAAGGCTATCTAGGGGATGACAGATGTACAGAGCTACCTCGATATCGCTCCATAAGATCTTCTCTCCTGCTAAACTAATTTAAATGGCAAAGACAAAAGTTTATTGTTTAAGCAGAGTGGACATGCTACATTTACTGTATTTCTTTAACAAAATGAGGCCAGTTTGTAATTAAATTTGAAAATGACTGCCTGTACCGAGGCCTGAAAACCTGTGACATTTCAAAGACAGCCAGTCAGTCTGCCAAACTCGAACACTGAAACCCAGAATCTGTTCAAGCACTTCAGGCGGCTTTGGAGAGCAGGAGCATTTTCTTCCTTTCAGTAGAGTCAGCTCCTCTGGTGCCGGAGCAGAGGGCTGACATGCCAGAGCGTGCCTGCAGCACTGCTGCCAGAGCCGGGGAGCGAAGCCTGAACCCTGCAGCTCCCAGCTAGGAGCTGAGCAGGCAATAGCAAGGAGCTGGGGGAGCCCTTAAGGAGTAGGGAGTTATCTAGGACAATATCTGAAGTTGGAAGAACGGAAGGAGACAATCCTTAGGGATATGGTGACCACAAGGAAACAGTTCAGTTCACTAAAACCACGTTTAAAAGAACAGTCTGAAACACAACCCACCACCCGTCCCCAAAATGCACTTGGTTAATTTGAGTCAGATGCTTACATTAAAAAAAAAAGACCGGAATAAATGCGTACTAGCTGTACCACTGCTTAAACCAAATGTGTATTGGTACAGCAAAACAAACTCCAGAATGAAGGAAAAGCTACTTTTAGTTCTTTTGTTTGTTTGTTTAATAATTACCAGACAATAATCATTTAGGAGAAACTGAAAGTTATAAACGTTGAAGAGAGACTGTTACAAATTTTTATTATTGTTATTATGAAACATGTCAAGATTGCTTGCCAATTTAACCAAGACATCTCGATTTGAGAGGGATCTAAGCCCTGATCCAGCATCTCTTAAAAGCATGCCTCAACGTAAGCATGTACCTAGATCCTGTCAAAGCTAATGCAGCCTTAAACATGTGCTTTAAGTCCAGTGGAGAACACAGGTAAACTTCAGCACATGTTTAAACGCTTTCCTATACAGGGACCAGAAACACACGATTTCTGGAATGCATGCTATTCTGTGATGTTAACATGGAGAAGTGAAAATAAAACAACTCAGAAAAAAACGTTTTGATTGAATTGCTGAACACGACCCCATCTCCTCCTGCTTAGGAAGTCCCCTCAAAGGGAAATAAGCCATATGATTTGGAAGTTTCACTGCCTCCCATTACGAGAAGTACCAGTAACTCAGCAATGCATTGAATGTTATTCGTACAAGTGCTATTGCCCATGTGAAAAATGAAAATATAAAGAGTCTCACCAAGTCGGTACTGAGCCACTCCTCAATGTCATCCATGACAGAGGACTGTGCAACAGGGATCTAGGGAGTGCAGCGAGAGAACAGCAAGGCAGGCAAAAACCAAAACACATCCACAATCATGGCCACAGAGTGATGGAAAACGCCAGAAATAAGATTAAAAACAAAACAAAAACAAAGATGTAAGATGTGCTGGAAAAAAAAAGGCAACAAAATATAAATGGCATTTCAAATAAAGAAACACTTGGAAAGGAAATTATGAACAACAAGGCTAAAAAAAACCAAGAGAAAGATTATGGGGAATGACGTGACTTGATGCCAGCTTAAGACGGGTAACTTCCCGACCACATATTAAAACCATCAAGATGGACTGATGATTCTAATCTCGATCGTGAAAAGCTTTTAAGGGTAGAATACTGGATATCAGTTAGGTTTTGAAACGTTAAATTTACACCTTTTATTTTTTAAAATGGGTATTAGCCACAGCGAAGGGTTAGCAAAAAGAGGGGCTCAAAGACTTCAGGCAACACTCCTATGAAAACATTTGATTTTCTCCGCAGGTGGAGGCAGTCAGAGCCCAGGGTACACAGTCATGTTTCCTTCCAGATCCTCCTCCCACCACACCACCGAGCCTTGGCAAGCCTCGGCACACCAGTTTAAAGAAAAATGGTCCTGACTCTCCGGCCCCTCTCTTCTGCCAAAGGTGACCCTCTTGCAGCAGAGGCAGCAGAACCCAATGTGTGCCAGTGCAAAGTGCGGACTCTCAAAGGTGAAGGTGAGGAGGAGGATGGGGCAGCAGCTCCCAGCACGGGCAGAGGAGGAGAGCACTGTATGCACTCCTCTCGGGCTCTGGCTCCAGCACCGGCAATGCCTTGCAGTGCTGCAGCAAGGCTCACCAGAGCCTGCCTGTCAGGCCTCCACGGATGGTTTAACAAAAAGGCAGGGAAGGTTTACCTCTCCTCCTGCGATAAAACCACTCGCGTTATGCTGTGTGATTGCGACAGGCAGCACAGACGCAGCACACCAAGTGCTGAAGTGCAGCTATTTCACAAAGCGCTACAGGCAACTGGGTCAGCAAAGGGAAATTACTGTGTTTTAGGTGTAGAATTTCCTGACTTAACTACACTGCTTAAATACAACAGAGGGCTGCAAAAGTAAACAGGAAAACACCACAATAGATCTCGTAAGGACAACCTGAAAAACACTTTGAAAGCAATGTCAGACATGCAGGTTCCAGGCCAGAGCACAGCAGCTGAGCAATGGGGCTGGCAGACAAGAGCCTTGCTGGAGAGCCTCTCCTAGGAAGAAAAGGTGTTGGGGGTTGTCCACAGCTTTGCCTGAAACCTCTTATGGGAAGAAGAGCTGAAAGAGGCTCTGCAGATTAATTTGCTGGGAGATGTAGTTTTATCAGGGACTTCTAGCGGAGGAAGACAGGCAGACTCTAAATTACAGAGGCAGCAGCACAGGCTGATGTTGTTTAGCGGAGCTCCTCAAGAATTTTGTCTTCTAATCAAGTGGCCCTTTGCACTGAGGAGGTCAGTTAAGCCCTTGCTTGACGTGAGGTCTGCTAAGGTGGGCTAGTTGTGTCAAACGACTGGAAATCCAGGGCTCAATCCAAAGCATCTCCCACCAAGAGAGGCACCGGGAAGGTGGCTTGGATCCAACTCTGCAGGTTGCTGGACAAATGCACGTGACAGATCCAAGAAGGCTCAGAGGTACAAGTTGTCATTTTGCTTTCAGCTAATACATGAAGATCCCAAACAGAAAATAAGTTCCTGCAGTTTCCTTTGGAATGGGCCAGATTAAGGATAATTGCCCCTTTCTAATTTGCAATGGAGAGCTGAATCATGCACGTGCAATGCTCATGCAGTGTGCTGAAGCTGCCGTGAGCTGGCCTAGATGGCCATTAACGAGAGAGGGCTCTGTAGACATCTTCCAACATGTTCCTTCCCAAGGACAAGTTGCATCTTGTAGAACTTGCTCGTTAGTTTAACAGCTTTGGAAAATACTTCTCTTCAGAGATACAAAGCAATGAATTTATTCAGCCTACAGCAACCTAAAACCTACTGCAGAAGTTTCACTGCTGTCTCTCTTCTGTATTGCTTAACACTGCACACAGTAAGTAATGCTTTGGAAGGTGTAGCCTTCAGAGCTATTGGCTACTTTGCAGCTCAGAAAGGTACTTACATTTCTTTAAGGATAAGAAAATCTATATGGAGAGGAGAAAGAAAACAGCAAGGTTTTTTTGGTTTTCTGTGAATAAAATAAGAGCAGCTGTTCTAAAAAGCGTGGTGGTACTGCGGTCCCTGTATTAGGAGGAACAGCAATTCAAATCTTGGTTATCCTGAAAACACAACAGATGACTGAGCAAATAATGGATTCCTGAGAATCGCAGGACTCTTGAGTTTGCAGGAGTCCTCGAAGAACAGTTCAGCAGTACAGGAATCTGTGCTGCTGTGTTTTGGAAGATTTAAAAAAAAAAAAGAAAAAAAAAGAAAAAAAAGGAATTCTACTTTCAGACAGATCTACTTTATATAACAAACAAACAAAAACCTTAGAAGTGCAAGAACACTTCTTGCAGGTCATATATAAGAAGCAGAGAGAGCTGTAAGATAAACATTTGAGCATGTCAGCCGTTTGCTAGTCAGCACTGACCTTTTAAAAAGCTTCCCCCATCTTCCAGCACACTTACAGAAGAGCCAAGGGTTGGTATCTATTGCTCCTTCCATGCTCAAACTTCCAATTTACTTTCCTCAGACTCTGAGCCCCATTTTCCCCATAAAACATGGGTTAAATGTATCAGGTTTAATCTGTTCAAGAATAAAGAGGGGGGAACTCTCAAGAGTAACTGGAAGTCTTAAAATATTTTAACTATAACGTTGTACCATTTATATTTCATTTGAAACTGACCACACACAGAAATTCATTTTTTACCAGTCAGTTGTGTATTTGGCAAGTCTCCCCCTTCAGAAGCCCTAAACTGAAAAAATGCGTAGGGGAGTTTTAACAAAACTAATCCCCTAAAACACAACAGAAGCAATGTAAAAATAAATTAGCTAGTTTACACATTAAAAAAGACAACAGTCTCTGGGAACAAACAGCAGTGGCAGCCGCAGACTACATGGAAATGACTCCAGAATGGGATACCGTCTTGTTAATACTTTGATTATGCAAACATACACGGTCTAGTGAAGCTCTCAGTCTTGGCAAGACAGCTCCCTAGATAGTCAGTGTTGGCTGCAAGAGCTGTTTTTATAACGATATTGTGATTTCTTTTTTAAAAGTCTATACTCAAAGTAAATGGAAATTAAGTCACAAGATATTTTTGAGTACTTCAAGTAACTGGCTTTAATTAAAAGTTGGGCTCATTGTTCAAATTCCTTTTTTATTTAGTCTTTGGAAAATCCTACAGATGGGATCATCTCAACAGTCCTGAAAGGGAAATGGAAAAGGAGGGCTGGGAGAACAAAAGCAAGCGTTCAATCCCACAAAACCCACAGGAACCTGGAATTCAAGTTCATACTTATCTAAGTTAGATTGTGTTGGTGTTCTCACTAGCAATCAAAAGCCAGAGAGTATTGCCAATATATTTCCTCAGAAGTCATAAAATCCAATATTCTACCCTTAAAAAGACAGTTTGAGGTTATTATTATCACATTTTATTTCTACTAAAAAATGATCCCACTGGAAAAGCAGGTATGAAATGACAATTCAGGTCTCTAGGTGAGCTCATTAATGTTCTTAAAATGTTTAACAAGGTTCATGCTAATTGCTGCTAGACTACTGTCTTGTAGTAACTTAGTTAATTCCACTTCTTTCTAGATGTTTAACAAAGCTGACACCAATACTTGGTTACCTGCTATTCATTTCGCCCGTTAGTTAGCAATAGTAAAGAAACGTCTGTCATTCCTATGGCAGCAGAACTAGAGCACTAAGATGCACGCTAGCAGTCTACTCCAGCTTACTACTACAGTCTTACCATCTATTTAAAGCTGTTGTGATCTTGAAATAGCTGCCTGGACTCAATATTAGAACATGTTTGACTTTACATGGTAAGGATTGAATTAGCTACTTGATTACTTGTAGCTGTGTTTATACATCACATAGATGGGGAAGGCAAGAGCTCAGGTGCAGTATGGTCCCCAACACAGCCTGTTGTGCCCATACAACAACCAGCCAGTCTGGATCTGATAGGCATGTCCAGACAGCGAAAGCCTTCATTCACATGGGGCATCACATTGTCTTTGTAGAGTGCTCCATAAAATGCCATGTCTGGACAGGTAATGAAACCCACATGGTCTTCAGAAAAAGGGAACACGCCTGCTTGCCTTCAAAAGGGAGAGGGGTCCCACCACACAGAAGAAATGAGATCTTCACATGTCTATTTCTCAGTTTGTCCACAATTCAAGCACTTTAGTGTCCAAGAAGATGACGTATTCCAACAGTCTCATGTTATCCAAGTCATTTCCACATCTTAGATCCTCTCTCTCTATTGAAGGCACACATAGTGGCATCCCACTTTGTTACTAATTAACAACATTTCAGCGAACGTTTCATTTAATCTTTACTCACATATCTTTACTACAGAGAGAAATCTCCTCTCTAGCCAGGCATGCTGTTGGTGGTCAGGATGCAACGCTCAAAGCTTTTCATACCACTTTCTGTGAATTCTGGTTCAGTTTCATTCTTCCCCTGCCACTGTCCCAAATAATGTCTGTCCTGACATGGTGGCTTAAGCAACACCTGCTTCTCACTTTTCAAATACCCATTTGGCATGTGAGTGGGGTGATAAGATTATTCTAACAAATTAATATATTCATGCAAATCTCAATAGCTACCCAAACTCATGAGAAGGGAACTGGAATTACCTGCACTAAAACATGGTGGCCTTATGCTAAAGTCTGTGCCTAAGAGCTGCTGATACAGACCCCTGTATGACACCTGCATGGCCCAACTTCCAAGAACCCAGACCTTACACTGCAAACAGATCTCGTACTGGAACAGCTCAGCTAACATCCCTAAGTCATGTTTAAACCAGGAACATTTTCTGCAGATATTATTTT